GTGGCATGCCCACTTAAATCCTATAGACTAAAGAGTGCTTGATGCCATAGCAAAATAAAGGAATTGTAAAAAAAAGGTTGGAGTAGATGTTTGGTTCTTCATGAAATGAACTGATTCCAAATCCTATAGGATTCAATCCTACAAATCAAACAACCAACATAGGAATAGTTCCTAAGGATTCGAATTCTCCAAAAATTCTATGGAATTTTCATGTTTCACAAAAATGTTGCAAGCAAGCCAAAAAGGATGACTATTATATGTAGCGTAGAGTGGATTTGCATTCTCTGATGGAAAGTTGTACACATTGAGTAGATTTGGCCAGCTTTCAACATTTGAGTGGGACGAGACCTTGTTATCCATCGAGAACATAATTGACTCTTTGGGTGATTTAGGTGGTTTCACGCCATGGCTAATTCGGCAAGCGACGATGTGTTCGAAGATAAAATCAGGCTGTACTTGAGGTCTCTTTGGCAGATTTGCACAGCAGCCAGGTCAATGGAGAAGGGTTGATTTGCGCGGCCATGTGATCTTTCTTGGCCAACATGGCTCCTAGTCCTGGCTCCCTGCCCGCTGGAGAATGCAGTCGATACCAAGAGGATTGCATCTACTTCATGTGGACTATCCCTGCTCGAACTCTTCTGCTTCTTGACTCCGGCACGTACAACATCAGGAATGAGATGATCACGCCATTGATGTCAGGGACAGCAGCAGCACGGCTACAACATGTTGGGCGGTGGTGTTCTACAAGGGTTTTCCCTTGGGTAGCTATGTGATCAACCTAGCAGGATTAATTCTGTTTTCTTGGAAGCTGGAACATATGTACTCCCAACTTTCTGTCTTACAACTTCGGGATCAACCAGTTAGCCTAGATCTGCTTATCTTTCTTTTTAGAAAAACAGGGAGCACTCCCCGGTTCCATTGAATGAAACCACAGGCTTACACAGGCCAGGTCAGGTTTTTCCGCTCTCCCCGGGAAGGGGGAGAAACCAAATGACAGAAACTAATAAGTTCCAAAGCAACAAATGCAAAAACATCAACATTTTTCTGCTGCATGTTCCACGCAGGGAAGCAGTTCCTAACACGATCTGCATATCTTCATTCAGTGATCTTGATTCTTAGTTTCCTATATATGTATGATCTTGGGGTGCATCCGAATGTGCAAGTCTTTCATTGTAGCAAACTTGGTGTGTTGTCTGAGTGGCTTTTTAATTTCATTTTTTTCCTCACAAGGCAAAAATACTTGGGGGTCGCACTAGCCCCTGAATCCTGATCACCAAGGATTTGTATACCTCAAATACTTGGTTAGTGTATGGTTATGTATAAGGTATACCTCAAATACTTGGTTAGTGTATGATTGTGTGTATAAGGTATACCTCAAATCCTATGTATGTATGTAGTATGTATGTAGTCCCTTTGGCTTGCTTGTAGCATTTGTGAAACATAAAAAGGACACGAAGAGATTCTATTGACATCCCTAAAAAGAAGAGTATTGACAAATATAAGAAAACAAAAGGCAGACAATAGCCCCTGCACAGATAATGAGTTCTGATCTCAAAAGGAGATAACGATGTACACTGCGTAAAGGAGAACAAGTTCTGATCTCAAAAGATGGAAGAAATTTGTACGTAGTGTTAGCATACGGAATTACGGATACTGGCACCTCCCGCGGCTCCACCAGGCACCAGCGCATCAACCGGTGAATCAACCGTTGCTGGAGAAGACGCCGGTGAGGTGAAGCTGACGCTTGGATCTCCTACATACTATAGTACATAGCCTGGTCTCAACTGATGAAAGAAAAGCCACCGAAGAAAGCGGGATTGAACCAACCACGAGATCCGCAAGAAAAACAACTTCCTAAATTAGAACGGACTCGTCTTCAGATCGATCGCTCTGTTTAAAGAGGACGCATCCGCACTTACCACACGACGATGGCCGCGTCATCAAGCTCGTCTCTCCGGTGCCCATGGCCGGATGGGCGTCGTGCTCTCGCGGCTGCCGTCGCACGCCGACCGCGTCCGCCTCGCCGCCGTCTGCCGCCCATGGCGCTCCAACGCGCGGCTGCTGCGCCCGCTTCCCCCGCTGCTCCCGTGGATCGCCCTCTGCGATGGCACCTTCCTCAGCCTCCCCGATGGCGCCGTCCACCGCCTGCCCGTCGCGGACGACGGCGTCTCCGTCCGAGCCTCCACCGGCAGCAGGCTCTTCCTCGTGCACGGCGACGGCAGGTGCTCCCTGATGAACCCTTCCCCCTCGGCGACGACCCCTGTCCCCGAGGCCGCCTTATGGTTCCAGGGAAAGCCCGTCGTCCGGAAGGTGGTGGCGTCCGATCACCTCATCGCCGCTCTAGTGGAGTCAGAAAATTCCAGGACCGCAAAAGTCATCATCTCTACTCGTGGGCAGCCATGGGACATCACGAGGTGCTCCACGATGGAGTTGGCGGAGCCTGAAGGCGGCCTCGTCAGCGACATTGCCATCTTCAAAGGAAAGATCTACGCCCTCCTCACCACAAAAGTGGGGCGATATCGTCAGCATGAGCTTCGTGTCCTGGACGACGGCCACGAGCAGACAACCATCCACGGCACCCTAGTAGGGCAGGAGGCATGGTATGATCCTAACTTGACCGACTTCTACTTGCAGCGGAACTACCTTGTCGTCTCCGGCGATCGGCTGCTGATGGTCGAACAAAGGATCAGCGAGCGGTGGCCGAGAGACTGGGGACCTTTGAAGCTGACTCGACACTTCAAGGTATTGGAAGCAACGGACCTGAGCAGCAGCGGCTGTGCACGCTGGACCGAAGTCGATACATTGATGGGGCGCGCGCTCTTCGTCAGCCAAGGGTGCTCCTTTCTTAACTTAAAGCCGGGCAGGCCCTTCGTTTCAAAAATAAACGGGGGGAATTGTGAGAATGCCTTTCAAGACTCTGGGGTGTACAACATGAGAGACCGGACAGTGACGCCATTGCTGTCGGAGACGGTAGTGGCGTCCACAGCCGGCGATGGTCCATGGTCTCCAACTTGGCTTTTTCCAGAGCCTTGAATTAAGCTAGTTACGCTGTATTATTAGTTACTAGGATTTTTCTTAGATGTTGCAGTATGTATTGGTTCCATCTCTTTTTACTTTCGCAATACCATTAGACACTTTTAAAGTTCTATAAAGCATATGCTCGAGACTGTGAAGTGTGAACAAATCATCTCCTGTGTGTGTGTGGTATAGGAATATCTGGAATTTAATTCAAAATAAGAAGCCGTGGATCGGCACAAGCTGGGTGTAGGGCTTGTACACAAGAAGACCCACATAAGCAAGGTATGTCAAAACTCCTATAAAGACAATGGGCATTGTAGTTTTAAGGAAAATACAAACTGCAAAGATTTTGCTTTTATAGCATGAACCAATTTTCCCTACTACATGTAATATATTATCAGAAAAATGCAAATGGTTCAACACTATCAAATGATTTGATGGCGAAATGCTGAGCTAAATAGA